TGTATGTAAGCATGTATGGGTAAGATAATTTTATTTCAGAAGCTTTTATCGAGGCTTTTGCGCAGGGTGTTTGTTTTGTTCCATTTACTACGACAAAACATCACGGTTTTACTTTTATGTCGAAATGCTTTTACCGTTTATTTTCTACTCATTAGATAGAGCGTCGTTTTTCTAGGCATATATATATATATTTGTATATATATTATTTGTAAAATAGGTGACTTGTTTAGGAATATAGGACAGTTTTGAAACATTTCCATTACATCTAGAGTATATTATAAAATATATTTACTTTTATACTCGTACATCTCGGTCATGGCAGCGTGTAGTTTGCTAATATTACTAAATTTTACTTAAGTATAAAATTTTTATTAGGCGTACCAACCTAGCTGTTTTTTTTAGTAATGTTTTATTTTAGGAACGCAATTTCCACACACGCAAACCAACGTTAAGTCTTAGGTTAGGTGTAAAAACGACAATAATCCTTTTGGCATAAAAAACTTTTTCAACGTTTTACGTAAAACCTTAGGTTTTTTTTGGAAGTATTTCTTTTTATAAATAAATCTATGTATTTACTGTTTATATACAAATACGGAATATTCAATATTTTTGTTTTTTCTAAGAGTTTTTTTTTCGGAATAAAAAATGTCTTCAGTCTGCTTATGCCGTCAGTGTTCTGCGACCTGCACTGTACTTAGCAAGTACAAGAGGAAAACAGCTATTTACATTTTTTTTTTTAGCGGCCTATAGTTGAGATCAATATTATTTCGATTTTTGAAATAATATAGCATAATACGCTGTTTATCTTCTAAACCTTCTAGAACTAAAAAGCCGATTTTTTATTTAGCTATTAGAAAATTAGTTAGATTTATTAGGAAAAAACATAAAAAGTAAAAATATAAACGTTTATAATAAAATTTAAAAAACAAAAATTAAAAAAATCGGCCTTTAGCCCCCCCCCCCAGTAAAGATGTTAAACTTTATAATACATTATTTTTTTTTTTGAAAATTGGTTCAGTGGACACTTTAGAAAGTGACTTGTCGTTTTAGTCTTTATTTTTATAAAATTTGGCGCGTTGCCTTCTACCTGGTGTACGCCATCGAGAGCCTGTTGAGTTTCTACACGTCCATGTATATGTATTTTTTCGATTGTCTCATATTTTGCGTTCTGGGTTTGACCGGCCAGCGATATGGCGACATGGCCGATGTGGCCACTAGACTAGGACGTCTACCTAATACTGACGGTAGGCCACAAACTGAAAATAGCCACTGGTGATGAAATAATTTGGGATAACACTGATTATAAAATTAAAACACTTTTTTACATTTGTTATGATCAGTATATTAAAAACTATTGAAAACTAAGACATATTATATGTGTCGTTCAGTGTAAAAATGAATTATCTCCTTGTAATTGAATTTTGAAATAACAAAAGATATGGTTAGATAGACTTTATTAAGCAAACATAAGTATATTTTAAAAATTTGGAGTTACACCATTTATACAACGAATGACACATATTACAATAGTACATTTGCTTAAATCGTTATTGTTCATTTCATTTTTATTTTGTATATTTTTTACGAAAAATACATTACAATGTTAAACGAATTAAATTCTGAAATAATGCACTAATTTTATTTTACACGCGAGAGAGCTTAAACAAAATTGATAGTTAAATGTAAATTACATTTTATTACCGCTCACATGTAAAATACTAAAAAAAAAATCCATATAATTAGAAAGTTTAAGTCCTCTTATTAGGTTGGCTTAGATTGGGTTTTGTATTATATGGAATATTGTACTTTATAAAAATAGTTTTTAATTTTACAGATGACAATTTAAGTTACAACGTTTCTGAAATTGCTGAAGTTGAATTAAAATTAATCATTCATGACCATCAAATACTATCGAAGTTTGTTATTGTATCAACAATTTTTTTGCTGTATTGTATCGTTCAATGTAGCTTTTTTTTAGGTACGTTAACGACATTTTGAAGGTTTTTCGACCAGCCATCACGTTTCAGTTTTTAGTTAGTTCAATTGCTCTTTGCTTTTTAATCGTTAACATAATAATTGTAAGTACTTGGGTAATCGATAATTAAAAAAAAAAAAATGTACCGACAAACTTCGTCTTTCATAGCTAAAGCAAAATGGGCAATCGTCGTTGTCGTTGCAGTTAATGAAAGTATTGTTTTTCCTAATGAATACTTTTTATCAACTAGTGTTGTACTCAATATCTCTGGAGCGAATATTGCAAATGGTAAGTGATCGATAATTCAAATTACTCATAAATATATACGTAGAATGTATTACACAGTGATATGAAATATGAAATTATTAATTAATTAAAAAATGCTTATTCAATAAAAGTTACGATACATTTTTTTTGAAACTCTTTTGCTGAGGTTAGTAAATGTTTAACTTGCCTATTATATTGTTATTGAATAAACGTAACATGACATATAATCACTCCCCTCCCCCACTCTCTATCTAAAAAAGAAAAAAACAAATGTAGGACTACAAATCGTGTGTGAGTGTTATATTTGTAACCGTAGCAACAACAAAATACCATACGTTTTTATTATTACTAAACCCTTCTATGAACGTCTTGTATATTATCATGTATTTATGACGTTCAACCATCTGAGTGAGGTGCACGTTCTTTTGGCGCACTGATTTTAGTTTTATAGCTTTTTCCATTAATATATGACTAGACGTACGTATAATAACGCAATACTTGAATAATATTCTAGAAAGAACGCTTGAATTTTAGTTTGTATGCCAGTAAATGGACGAATCGCAGTCGGACATACAAAAAGTTGGCCATGACAATGAACAGTTGCAATCGTATTCCTGTTGTAAGGTTTATCCCAAGTTTACCAATTAAAATCAAACTAATTCGAAAATTATGATTCATTAAATTAGTGAGTTAAGTATTTCGAATAATTTGTAAATGTACTTGAGTTATGACAGCTGTTTTGTCATATAATATTGTCTACTTAATTGACGTTTTGTAGATTAACCAATTAAAGAAAAACTAAAGTGATATTATTGGTAATATGTTTTTATGAAATATTTTTGTATGTATTTATAAAATAATTTAATGCGCTCTAGCTCGTCAAAACAGAGTAGTAATCAAATATGTAATAGATTTTTGACTTGGGCTTAACAAAAAAACAATTTATTTATTTTTGATATTATAACATTGATATTTAAATATTTATTTTTTAAAAGACAATTTGTACACATATTTTTTAATGTACATACGCTGTTGTTCTACATAAAATTCTTTGTTCTTGTTATTGTATTCGACAATTATTTGTAATTTTTTTTTTTTAGTTTAATATTTAGCCAAGTATACAGTATACATGAGTTAGGTTTGTAAATATCGTTAAAATACTAAGCCAAATATTTTACTTTTTTATTATAATATTAAGTAACTCAACTAACTCTGTTAAGAATTTTACACTGTAAAGTTAAATGGAACTGCACAAACTTGTTGAAAAGTTATAATTCCTTAAGGATAGCCGAGATGATAGTGTGCTAGTAGCTTATAATATTTTTTCCAATAGTTCAAACGGACTGATGCGTGAATTGGCTGTCAGAATTTTCAATTATAATGTTTTTATACTGACAATGTTTTTACTCAAATGATAATATTCTCATCTACAGATTTATCAAACTAGCTTCTGTACAATAAAATGGAACTTACAATTATAATTGAATTGTGTTTATTTTTTATTTGTCGCCAGTTGTAAGCAGTTGTCTACCATAACCTCGTTATGCATAATATGTTATTTATGTACATCTGTACAACGGGTGGCTATTTGGACTAGACATAGGTTGAAATGTGTTATTCCACCCGTCATAATATTATATAAAATTCATTAATAACAAAACAAGTTCGACGGACCGCACTTGAACATATTTTGATATGTCTAAACGCATATACAACAAAACCCGGGGATGTGTCCCTATTGTTGTGGATACCATTCATGGACCAAACAAATTTAAAGTCCTCTTTAGCGAGAAAAACTAATTTAATCAAAATATAATATTTTAAATTGACGTTTAAAAAAAAAAAATGGAAATGTTTTGCAATAGTTTTTATTAATGTTTTCATGTTCACATTTTTACATGTTGCGGTGCACTTCATAGCGTTTTTGCTAAAGCGCGCGATTACTGAATTCGCATTAAAAAAAAAGGTTTATGCTTAGCAAATATTGAAGTAACCAAATGCAGAACTAGTAATCTGAATTTTATCTCACAATGTTCCAAGAGGAAAAGCGGAGTATTTAAAAAAAAAAAAAAACAGTAATTATAATATCACGTCGGTTAGACTGATTCCCGAGAAATAAGAATAGTGGGCCAAACAATTTTCTTTCCAATGTTGGCCTATAAAAATACAATCGTTTAAATCGGCTCATAGTTGGTTGAACACGGACAATGGAGAGTAGAACACTCCAATCATCGTTCTGGGACATACTGTGTTTGAAGGTCTCGGTCCAGCGGTTTCAGATATATCATGCGTACGGACACACATTCACACACAAAAACAATAAAAACACATCATTGTAAAATCAATATCTTCTAGCTTAGCGCCAAAGCTGATAGAGGTCAAAAGTATACTTAAAAGCCATCAATGTATATTAAAAGGTTCTTTGTACAGCATCTGATCGCACGCGGCTAAGTAAACATTAGTACATAAATTGATTGATTAAAGGCTAAAATAACTAACAAAACTGTTTTTGTCATGGTGTTAATTGTTACCATTTACCCACGCTGGTTTATCATATGGGCCCGATGAAATTACTATCATCATATGAGATCTAATCAATAATTTGCGAAAAAAATAACTTTAAAACTTATTCGATTCATGATTGAGCTGTTCAACAACTTGTGATATTTTATTGTATAAATAGAAAACATATAATTTTAATATAAACGTTACAACGTGTTTAGCATTACATTTATATTATTACATTATACTTGAAATATTATAGTTTAGGATGGTCTACATTGTCTTTTATCATATGTGAACATAGTTGCATTTTATTCATGCAGTCCTCGTGATCTTTGAAATGTTGTTTGGAATTTTCATCGCTTAAGGCATGTTTACAAATTTCATTAGCCACTCCTTTATCAATCCTGTTGACAACGAATGGTTTGTCGAAAGTGTGATATGTATTTGCAAGCATTTCAAATTTTTTTTCTTCGTCTGGAATGTCTCTACTTAGCATGCCGACTAAAAGGGAAAAATAATTGTTGTGTAAATTTGTAATAGTTTATCAGTTTCCAACATTAAACTTTACATTGAGAAATCATGTAAAAAGGTGAGATCACATATTATAGTTCAGGAATAGAATACGAGATTCTAAGAATTCCTAGGTAGCACATTAAGTAACCAAAGGGCAAACACCGTTTGTTATTAATTATTTATTATAATATGTTTTAACTTTCTTTCTAACTTATAATACTCGAGTCTTCATGCATAATAATTAATGTATTTAATGTATTTTAATATTAATGTATTGATTTATCGATGTTTGCTCTTTTGCTTATTTTACATTCAATTTATATATGAATTGCTTCATGCAAAAAGGGCCTAAGTCACCATTTGATCTAAAACGAGATTATTACAGATTCGTTATCACTCTACTTAGACGCATTGATTCATGTTAAAACGGCATTATTCCCATTACTATAACCCATTGTAAACGGGCAACTTAAATATGAAATTTTTGTTAAAAGGGCTTCAGTCACGGACTAAAGCCCGTTTAGCATGAAATTAGGCGCCTCGTCCTCGCACCTAAGTCTAGATACTTGTTGGAAAAGAAACAGATCTGCTAAGGAAGCGAGTGTCCAGTGCTGCTTAACGATTAAAGTAAAAAAATGGTTTAAATTAAATTTGTTTTGCCTAAAGGATAGCCGGTTGAAAAGCGAGTGTTCGGTGCTTTTTAGATTGCCGCCGAGCATATTTTGAAAATAGTATGGCTTTTTTGCATTTGGAGAAGCGGATAGGTCAAGTTAAATTAATGTTTTTGAGGCTTCAACTGTTTCTAAACATTGAAATATAAATAAAAACAAAACAAAATAACATAAACTTTAACGAAATAGTAAGTTATAGAGATGTATGAATAATGTTTTGTTTGTTCAGTGAGTAAAGGTATACATCATAATAATATTAAATTTGTATAATATATATTAATTTAAAATTAATATGTTATTGTTATTTTTTGTTTAAGAGTCTATTTTGTTGTTTTTATAGTTAATAAAATTTTTTTATGATAAAATTGTCGTTTTTGTTATTTTTAATGCCATGAACTAAAATGTTTGAAATAAATCAAATACATAAAATTATTGATTTTTTTAAAAAAAGTGTCTAAGTCCATTATACTTAAATGATAATAATCTGGACTGCATTTGAAAATAATAATATTGTTTTAATGAATGTAATTTTACTGTTTAATATCTATTAACTTTGATAAAGCCCTTATATGTTTATGCATTTTGAAACATATCAAACGTTTTTTCATTTTCCCAAAAGTTTAAAGTAAAGGCCCTTTTCGCATGAAGCAATTCATATAAAAACAATTAACCGAGTACTCCATTTTTAGCCATGCAGCCTTGAAATCCCTTTTTTGCTGCTTCAACAACTTTATTGGATAATGGTTCACTGTAAGTAATTTGGCTTTTCCATACCACCTAAAGTATAAAATGATCAAATTATAAAATAAAGGATTAATAACATAAATTAATAATACAGGGTAATCCAGCTGTTGTAAGACCTCATTTTCTCAGAAAATATGAATATTTTGAAACTATTTTTTTTTGTATACTTGTAGGACGTAGGTACTTGTACTATCTTACTTATATTTTGTAATACTATGAAAATTTCTATCTTCATCCCTTTTACGTAAAACAAGTATGGATCTCGTTTTTCAAATGGAAAAATATGTTCTAAATTCCATAAATATGTAGACAAACCCTTTTAAAAAATGTTATCGTTTTAATTTTGAATTTTCATCAGCTTGTTCGTTTGCTATGACTTTACAGAGATATTACATTTCCCCTTATAATTGTCATATTATGTCTTCGGTTTTTGAATTTCAGTAGTCCATAAAATTCATATTTATGTTAGCATCGTCTGATAGGTGAGAACACCGATAACCAGACACAATGAAATGTTTTGAGATTTAGACAGACGATAGACTTGCAGATCTTATCAACCTATTCAAACGCAGTGATAGCGTTATCGACAAATGTCAATATTATTATTTAATGGGTGTGCTACTGGTGTACAAATCGATCGAATGATGGTTTTAAGTTCAAATCTTTACGAAACCATAGCAAACGAACAAGCTAATGAAAATTCAAAATTCAAAAGCTAACAATTTGATTGTGTACTATTATAATACATTATTATTCATATTTATGGAATTAAAAACATATATTCCCATTTGATTAAACGAAGTCCATACTAGTTTTATGTGTACGTATAAGAGATGAAAGTAAATATTTTTTTAAGTATTAAAAAATATAGTGAAAGATGTACCCACAAGTATAGGAAAAGATAATTTATAAAATACACATATTTTCCAAGAAAACTAGTGCTAACATCAGATGTATCACCCTGTTACCTGTATATAAATATATTACACAATTGATCTTTGTTCTGTTTAGAAATATACTACTTACCAATAATAATAAAATTAAAGATTTCGTCGACATTGTACTGAGCAGCAGTAAAATCATAAAACTATTGTCCACTAAAAAAATGTAACATAAAAGAGATAATGAAATTTCTATAATTTAATATTGTTACAAATAGTTTTGATTTAGAATTTGTTTTCTATGTTGCTTTGATAATATTACCGGGTTTCAACATTATTATTAAAAAACAAGAAAGCTATACTGTAAGGAATTCTATACTTACATTCTAGTTTGTTACACAAAAGCAGATATACAACTAAGCATAAGTTATGAAAGTATACTATGCGTTAGTTTAAAACATAGTAAAAAATACGGGTATACACATACTTATATTTGTTTAGCTGTTAACCTAAATGTACCATATAAAGAAGACCACGCTTTCTGTTAGTGTTGTTTGCAAAAAACATGGAAATCACTAGTTTCTAAAAAATAAATTCTAATGGATATTTTTTGATGAAAATATGTGTAGCTCTAATAATTATTATAGATTTTCGAAATAGTTCTCTCTCCCCTCCAAATGTGACATAAAAAGCCTAAAAAACTGCAAAGTTTTTGTGTAAAAATTACCATTTTTCTATGTAAGAAAAGTAAGGACTATATAATTGAAATTTATCAGCATTTTTTCAATGAAATTAGTAACATAGACTAATGCATGATGCATTTCTGTGGGAGGGCTATAGCCCATACGCAATTTTGAATCGACACAACAATGTTTTGCGTTAATATCGTTATACAATCAATAGCCATTAATATTTTCTGGAGACAATCAAAATATATTTGAAAAGTTCAACAAAATAGAACCACTAATGGCTATTTTGAATAATTTTTTTTTTGTTTTTTCCATTTTGGAATTTTTTTAAATAATCCCTCTCCTTTTGTTCATCTATTCAATTTTACAATAAAGAGAATTTTGAAATCATTTACTGCTCAAACTTTTATTAAATTACATAAAAAGAAATTTAGTTACTAAATTTCACAATTTGCCTATTAAATATACTTTTGACCCAAGACGTATAATTTTTTGCAATTGTGTATCGTCAGCCATCGCAGCTTTGTCGCAAAAAAGAAAAACTGTAGACAAAAGACGTATAGTTTAATAGCTGTCAACTATTATTTAACGCCACCGATTTATTAAATACAAATTTCACTTTTAATTAAAAAAGAATCAAAATATCAATTGTTAGTAATTGGTCTAAGTGATACAATCACTTTCAGTTATAATAATATTTCTGGAAAAACCTGTGACCTCACTATGCCAATACGGGCTCTACCCAACTGTGTTTAATCCATATTGCTGTAATTTATTTATTAGGTACTTACAAATGTCTACATCCGGTCAAGAATAATTTTACTATTTTATTTTAATATTTATTAAAAACCTTTTGAAAAATATTATATGGTTTTATCGTTGTTATTACTTTTCTAAATAATTGTTTATCTACTTTCTTACTCAGAAACGACTTGAAAACACGTTTTAAGTTGTGTTTTTTGAAGTAAGAGGAAAACATTTTTTAATGCGATGTTTTCTATGCTTGTTCAAATAGTTAACTTTTAGTCAAACACCAATGTGCCAAATAAGAAATGTGTTCAAAAACAAAAACAACATCTTAAATATCGACCTAGTTATACTATTTGAAGTCTCCTAAGTAAAAACGATTTTGATTATTATTATATTATAAGGTCATTTATTTTTTACTTGAGCAATTATAAAAGTAGGACAATTGATAGTATTCCGAATTTAGTTTTATAATAAATTGTATAGGAAAAAAAAATATATTTTAAGACTTCTAGAAAGCATTGTATCTCTTATGAAATATTTATAAACTAATTCAAATGTTTTGAACGCAGGATGGATCATACAAATCGTGTGATATAACATTTTTTGTTATTTTGGTTTCACGGCCCAAATCTTACACCACAATATATTACTTATTTAGCCCGTCTAAGATTCGGTCATTCCCGATTTCTCCTAATTCCTCGCCGTACTACACAAAGCAGAACCTACTGGAGGTTTCCCCATCCTCATTATCCTACTCTCTCTTCCAACATTCTTAACTCTTGTTATGTGCTCATCATATCCTAATGGCTTTTTCATTCATGTGTACAATTATTTTGTATTGTATTTAGTTATATTTAAAGTTGGTTTCAACCCAAAAGCGAATGATGATATTGATCTTATGACGTTGTTTAATAAAGGCTAATTAAAAAAAAAAAAGAGAGATTTTTTTTAACGTTTCAGATCCGCGGTAAACAAGATGTGGGATGTATACATTGTTGTTGTTTTGAAAAGAAACATCACAGTTTTTTTATTACCTATATCGACTACACACGTGATAGTCATGCGGATGAAGAACGTGAGTAAGTGCTAACCAAAAGTTCGGTTAATAAAACAACTGGGTTTCGATTGAAAAAAAAAAAAACATAATATAATATCGTTTTTATCATTTGTGTATTGTGCAGAGACCTAAGTATGCGCCACAGCGATTTAAACCATACAAATAATAGAACGTTGGTAAACCAATAAAATATTGTTTTTGTAAAATATGACTGTACTCATAACGTTATAACTTATAAGGTCGTGTGTAACTAATAGGTGTTTTCCATATTTTGTCTGCAATGCGACATTCAATCAGTCCTTGTGAAAAATACGGTATTATATATTATAAGGTGTAAAAAAATAATATCTATTTACCGTTTAGCTTCTGTACGACCAGGGGATTTTAACTAAAATGGAAAATGCTAGTTATATACTTATAACTATGCATTAAACGCTAATAATTCCATTGCATTCAATGATACGAATGTACAAAATAGGTATTCGCTATAACTTATGTAAATATGCAGTACTACCGTGCAAGAAAATAGTTCAAACATAATATAAAGACAAACAACTAACGGAATATACCCATATCGTTTTGAAAACATGTTATGAACTAAAATATAACGTTCCACGTTTGAACTTGAATAATTATTATCAACCATGACAAATAATTCGAAACGTTTATAATCTATGTAATCAAATACTTAAAGGAAGCGGAAAGGGCTATTTGTTGGTGGGTTACTATTTCATTACATACCCATAGACATCGGTATCATATATTTGATAACTAAATTGATTTTTTCGAATATGTTATTAAAAAATTCGAAGGTTAAAACACAACAATAGACACAGATACACATCTTAATAATTGTATTAAATTATTTTCAGAATGTGACACGGGTTCTGGATATTTCAGCTTTGTCGGACCATCTAAAAACAATTAGATATTAAATTATTTTTAATAAATTATCGTTTATATTTTACAATAAGTATTCTAGTTAAATTATGCTAGGTTCACGGGTCTACGGGAATTATTATAACTGAAGGCGATAAAATCACTTTTAAAGTAACGTTTCGGTGCGAATCAGTGGACAGAATTAATCCAGCAGAGTACAAACCTAGTGCAGTCTAAACCAGTAGAGTCCAAAACAAGCAGGCTCGCATAATATCTAGCTTATTCCATTTTGTCTTAAAGTCTCAAATTTATTTGCATTCAATTGACTAAATTGAATCCGAGTAGGATGCACTTACGTTGACGCCATACAATTATTTTATGTATACATTTAGCTAATGTAAAGTTTATCAATAAAACGATTTACATGAACTTACCGTCTTCGAGTAAGCTTCAGTTTTAGCTTTGTCACTGGCAGTCTCTACAATATTTTAGAGCACAATAATTAAAGTCGCTTAAAGCATAATGCAATTTTGATGATTTCTATATTTCTCGTGATTTTATAACTAGAAATTTGTTTTATAGCTCAACCGTTTATTAGCTTCGATGCTTACAAATATAATTGGATTGCGTTTATTTTTTATTTGTCGCCAGTTGTAAGCAGTTGTCTACCATTAACGAGGGTATTCGTTAAGCATAATATGTTATTTATGTACATCTGCACAACGGGCTAAAATCATAAAAAAAAAAACTATTTTTGTCTTGGTGTTAATTGTTGCCATTTCCAAATAGGGTTTTGATGTAATTACTATTATCATATATGATCTAATCAGAAATTAGTAAAAAAAAAAAACTTTAAAACTTATTTGATTTATAAATTAACTGTTTAACAACTTATGGTATTTTATTTAAAAAAAATAAAAACATAATTTTACTATAAACTTTACAACGCGTTTAGCATTACATTTCTATTTTTGCCCTATATTTGAGGTTGAGGTTCATTAGTTGGAGGTTGGCATACAGCCTCTTTATACATAAGTGCACACAATTTCATTTGCTCCATGCATTTCTCCTGACTTGGGAAGTTTTGTTTGGTTTCTTCATTACTTAAGGCAGTTCTACAAATGTTGGCGGCAAATCTTTCATTAATCTTTCCGGTGAAACGTGGGTAAGTTTTATAAGCATTTGCAGCTTTTTCCAATTTTTCTTCATTTGCTGGTATGCATTTAAGCATGTTGACTAAAAGGAAAAAATAATTATTGTATTAATTTGGTATAGTTTATCAATTTCAAACGTTAAACTTTACATTAAAAAATCATATAAAGAGCTCTGATCACATATTATAGTTTAGGAATACTCGTACAAACATAACAGGGCAAACATCGTGTGTTGTTAATTGATTATCATTATTATAATATGTTTTAAAATGTTTACATAACTAATGTATTGGTTTATTGATGTTTGCTCTACTGCTTACTTTACATTTAATTTATATATAAAAACCATTTACTTAGTTTATCTCCATTTACTCCCGTCTTGATGCAGCCTTGAAGTGCCATATGTCCTTTTTTAATAAATTCTTTGGGTACTGGCATAGTGTTAGTAATTTGACATTTCCATATCACCTAAAGTATAAATATCGAATTATAAAACAACAGATCTATAACATAAATTAATAATAGAAAATCAATGAAACAAAATAATCTTTCTTTATGCTCTGTTTAGCAATATATTACTTACTAATAATAAGAAAATTAAAGGTTTCGCCGACATTGTATTGAACAACAGTAAAATCGTATAACTATTAAACACATAAAAATACATTTTTAATTAAAAAGAAAAACGGATAAACGAAAACAATTATAACATAAAAGAGATAACGAAACTTAATTAACTTAACATAATTTAATATTATTAAAAATAGTTTTGATTTATAATTTTTCCGTTATCGCATAAATAATATTACGGTGTTTCAAAATTATTATTGGAAAAAAAGGAAGATGTCAAATGATACATTTACTTTTCGTTCTAAATACACCATTTTACATATAATTCTATACTTACATTCAAATTTGTTATATGTTACACAAAAGCAAGTATACAACTAACAAAGTTTAAACTAAACTTTGAATGTGTATTATGCGTTAGTTTAAAAATGATAAAAAACACATACTTTTGATTGTTTAGCTGTTAACTTAAAGATACTCTAAAAAATACGAGTAAAAACATACTCGTTTTTTAGTTGTTAACTGCTGCTGCTGCTGCTGTTAGCTGCTAAATGTACTATATAATAATGACGCACGCTTTTTGTTTTTTTCAAAAAAACATAGGAATTACTAGTTTATAAAAAAAAAATTCTTATATATATAAATATAGGTATATATAGGTCTAACAAGGTTTTAGATTTTCATTATAATTCCCCTCCTCTTCTAACTGAAATTCGATGATGGAAATATTTTCATGGAAGGCTATAGGCTGTAGCTCCCTTAGTCTCTCCTCATTCTACGCCTATATATAAGGAAACGTTTCATGTACATAAAGTTGGCCCCCCTACATTATCCTATCAATACCAAATTAGTGTCAAACTTTTGTAAATAATTGTAAATTGGTTTTCAGAATTACATATTCACGGAGCCCCCCGACGTACGTGAAGTTAGCCCCCCCCCCCACTATGTCCGATCAACTCCGGATTTTTGCTAATACTAAGCAACCTATTTGCAACTAATCGCAACCAATTTGAAAAAACTAGCAACTCACTCAACTTACTTTTATTATTTCTGATATTGCGTTAAAGTTAAATAATTGTGAGCTCGCATATTATAGTGTAGTGAATACTGAAGGATCAATAAGTCTCATACGTTTATACATGTCTTAACTTTGATGTAGCAGCTTAGAAAAGGAGGCCTCATACGGCTTACAGCGTGGAGGAGGAGGAGGTGGGGCCTATGGTACCGTCGATAACAGGCTGTATTATTGTACAACGTAAAGTAAGCCATCGGTCCTTTGTTTTAGTTTAAAAGCTACTTCTTAAGAAAACGAACCAGACATATATTTTGCAAAGAAGAATAAGTAAATCCGCTAAGCCCCATACGTAAGCGCACGATATTTTATTACTATTTGATAGGGAGTAGTGATACGATTTATAATACATTATAATAACATGTTCTGCATAATGGCACGTCATACATCTCCCGGTTGTACTTACACCATTGCTATGGTAAGTACAACCACCCACACATGTTAAACTGTAATGTTATTTTTTTCTATGTTCGAAACCATCATCATCATAATATATATCATATGTTATTATATATATATATATATATATATATTTATACATATGTTTCAGTTTTACAACGTTGTCAACGCTAACGAACGCTACTTGAACTGTGATTGTTAAAATAATTCAAAATAATGTTGTTGTTTTTTTATATTATAATCACCTGTTTACGTTCAATTTCTTTTCATGCTTTATAATATTAGCATGTGTAATAGACTGTAATATAAAATAACAAATGAGCAGCGGTGAAGTAGTTGTTAATTATTTTTGTAAGGTTTTTCATTTATTACTAAAAGGTATATTTATTAAATAGATAAAAAATATAATACATGTAAAAAAGTATCCCAACTAAGAAATCAAACTCTTTATTTTTGTTAGTTTTTTCGAGTGGCATACATAGAAAATATAATAATACTCGAATACGGGCTCTTAAAATTAATTGGTCGATAACTATTATGGTAGTTTTGAACAAATCTTCCTCGTGCTGGTTTACTAATACCCGTGCGACATAATCCTTTCGAGACTATAATTCTAGCGCACACTTAGCAATCATTTATATTGAAAATATTATCATTACTTTTATTATTACACGAGGACTATGTTAAGGGTTATGTGGACAGCTCAAAATCCTTGAAATGCATTTTATGGCCGATTAAGATTAAGGTTATAGCGCAAAATGTACGTTTTTATTGTTATATTGTTAGCTCGAGGCTGTCGGCCACGATTGATACACAAATAGGATTACACATAACAACAGTAGGTACGTTATGAAATTGGGTATAGCAACTTTTACAAGACGTGTTGAAATGTTAAGGCTGGAAAAGCAGTGCGGGTGAATTGTAATTGTGTAGTTAGCGCAGGTAGAAATTATAGCACTCGTTTAGTGTTTATGAATACTAATTTATCAAATTAATGCGTTGTAATAATTCGCTTGTTCTGCTATTTTTTTCAAATTAAAAGTAACTGTTTAAATTTAGCGGAGCTAAAATATATTGTATTTATTATTATTATTATTAATATTTATGAGAACCTGCTGTGGTAATTAGCATAGAGAAATGAGCGAGTATTTATGCAAAATAATGGAGGAAGTAAAGGAAATGTGGTGAGTACAATAAAATGTGGTCAGATGAGGTAGAAACAGGTGAAATTTGCGGGCCAATGCAATACTATATTTTGTAGAAATGAGTGAGAAAGGGATATTGAAAAAATCCATTATAAAAAAACTGTCAAGCCAGTTTTATAGATGAGAAGAAGGATTATAGGAAAATTAAGTATTAATGTTTCTTTTATGTATTTTCAGTGAGAAAAAAAAATTAAATTTGAGTGTATATAGTTCTATTATGTAGGCAATGTTCATAAATACGATGACTATGTTACATACAAATATAAGAAATCTTTTTATCGTGCCATTTTTCTGTCTGTAACTTTGGATTTCTTATTTTAAAAATGACAGTAATAAAAAATGTGTAGGAATATTTGTGATTGATAAAGATCATACTCATAACACTAAAGAACTTTGTTGAGTCAGAAAATTAACCAATCTCTAAACGAAACACTGTTGTTATGTGAAATCATATTTGTAAGTCATTCGCAGCATCGCGCTAACAATTTTTTACCAATAACATCACGGCTATGCTAGGATAAATATCTTAATCTAAATAATCATAAAAATCATTTCATGAATTTAAGCCGTCAACATCATCTTTACTTATGTAATAATAAGCCTATGTAATAAAATAAACGATACAAACATTTTTTTCTTTTTATTTGGTTTAATAATTGTATCATATAATAAAAATCGTGCAGTGGTGCAGTCTGGACATTCAGCAGCTAATTATTGGTGCTTGCAAAGTCCATAATTACTTTTCTTAAGTTTAATTTTATAAATTTTGTCTGTTTATGCATTTATATTTCTTATAATCTAAGTCTATTGCAATAATTATTGTAAATACCTGTTACTAAGTTGTTTAAGTTCCAAATGAAAACTGCAAATACCGTAATGTAGTATAAAAATGTATTACAGTTTGTAGCTTTCGGCTATTGTGTTACGCCAAAAATGATTTCGATGTACACGAGATAAAGTTTCATTGAATTTTTTTTTATTCGTTTTGTTTTAAGTTCGCACGCTGGAACTTTCGAGTTTTTTAAGTACAGAAAACTAAACGACAACATTTATACATGTTATTTTGAATGTTTTTTTTTTTTTAACGGAAGAAAACTATCATTGCCAAGTTAACCATTAAGACTTTCAGATATTTTTGTTCTTTTCTTGTGCTCTTCTTATCGTAAACGAGTATCGGAAAGCCATATAAACGCTTAGTCGTCAGTAAACGGAGCGCGACACGCGACCTCTTTTGGCACGCCACACCGGTTTTTTCCTCCGCCAAATTTTTATGGCTATAAAATCGCCATTTTATTACTATTTATTTTTTTTTTTGCTCGAGAACGATACGAGGATAAAAGCAAAAAAAAAAACCACCAGAAAAATCATCATTTGTCGTTATTTCGTTGCTAAAAAAAAAAAAAAAACACTTAGCGTGGTGACCGCCGCATCCACCACAAATAATTTATATTGATAATGATAATTTAAAATGATGAAAATCGTTGAGTTTTTTTTTTTTAATGTTCTCTCGGTTGTCGGGATGAGTTCTGGAAGATCGTTTGAACGCACAATCATCTTCTACAGTAGGTACACGTTAATACTAGTATAGTAATAAATGAGAGCTATGTTCAAACGCGTGACAACCGAGATTACCTACTATATAAGAAGATTGCCGCGTTAGAGGAAGCAGAGAACAAACGCGAATGGGGATTATGCCGAAATTTAAATCTACACACAAGCAAACGGTGGAAATGGAGAGTATAGGCGTTATCACTATTCCCATTACCGGTTTTCAAAGGTGTAATACTATTTGAACGCCCATCATTTATGAAATGCGCGCATACATTATACACATTCCGTTGAAAGGAAATGAAAAAACATAATAAACAAGCATACAAGCTGGTAGATTCATTTTGGCTTATACACCGAAATGCAGAGAGCTACATATGGTAGTAGTAATAACTGCGTATGCTGCTTGGGCAGAGTGTCTCTTTTTTTGTTATTCATAAAAAAAAATTATTTTAAATCTCGTGTCACTCGTAATGTTATAAAAAGTTTAAAAATAAACAAATATTTAACCTACAAACGTTAATATTTTAACACAAATGTAGGTACACAGCTCAACGCCTACTAAACTTTAATTGAAAATTTTCAAATTAATTACACAATCGGATCGGGCGAATTTATGTAGTGTTTAATATCAAATATGTAAAATTGAAATATGAATAATATTAACAAACACCATTTAAGCTTTAACCGATTTTAAATACAATCTAAAAATATGAATAATACAGAGCTGATTGGAAAGGAAACTGCGCATTTTTTATTTATATAACACATAATTATCTGAAAATAATGAGTTATTCAAAATGTATTTGTATTTAGCACTTAATTTGCATTTACTGTTTCTAATAATACATTATTTGAAATAACTGGCTATTTATAGTTTTAAATAAAATTTAATTTTTTTTTATAAATACATTTGCATTTCAATGAAAAATAATTTAAATAATGCCCAGGTTTGATCGAGGCTAAGTGAATAAAGACCATATAACTTTGCTATGAAGAACAAACAAAATTGATAAAGTCTACCATATAATACTATATACTCTTTACTACTACTATACTCTTTCCTATATTGCTTACGCTGAACATTTTCCCATGACGCTAATAATTATTGTTTATTCAAATTGGATAATACTGATATACACATTTTACACATATTCAAGAAGCAATAACTTTTTGTTTAACCATTTTTTTATGTATATGGTAAATGACAAGTTAACAAGAAGCGATAGTGGAGAAATATATAGCGCGGCCGTGGGAGGCCCCGCGTGGGCCGTAAAGGCTACAATATATAAAGATCCGATGAGTTATCGTTTGATTTCGAAAAGTTGACTGAACTCCAATAATCGTTTGTGCTGTCAAAGGAATTACTCTTTTATTTCTGACTGGTACACTTTGCAATGTATTTTATTATCGGTGTTAACAGAGCAAGTGCGCTGCAATCATTCGCATACAAATCCAACGATATGTACATTTTTTATTAACCGGTTGTCAAACCAAAATATCACAACCTAGCCGCGTTTATGTATAATCGAAAAAAACGTTTATTAATATGTTTAATCAAACGGGAGTTTTGACAGGAGCGGTACCGAAAACACAAAAAAAACCCAAATCTTGTTTACGACTCGACTCGAAAAACTTTTCAGGTAACTTTGTACCACACCCTTCCCCGTACACACACGTGCACGCTTTATGACCGTATTACTATCTCTTTGTATCGGCACCACACGTGGAAACTTTCGAGCCGACGAACTCTCACGGGACATTGCATGTACAGCCGCACGATGATAACGATCATTCGAAATCAGCCATCGGCGGTTTTAATGAAATCTTCCCTCGTGTTTTCTCTCACAAACCAAACGAAGCTGCCGTACATTATGTACATTGTTCAACGTCGTCGTGTGCATCGCATCGGCAGCAGCTCCCCCCGCGTAATCATCGTGTCTGTCGTCTGTTGCAATTATTATTACCGCAGTGGGCCAACAAAACAAGCCAAAAGGGAAATCCTTTCACGTGTGTGAGTGCACACCGTGCATAGTGTATCCTTTGTGGCAAATTCGTATAATATGCATGTATACACAAACACATGTTCCGAGTGTTCGGCCGGAGACACACAAACCGTGTGTTTGTCTTGCTTGACGAATATGTGTTTGACTAGACAAATGATCCACCTTTCTCTGTGTAATGTAATGATGCGGGTTCGGCACATGCGAAACCCCATCGGCTACTGGGTAGCATCATTCGTCTGCGGCACGCGCACAACATATATGTACGTTTCATGTACAATGTTTACTGTTATCAAAAAAAAAAAAAAAACCGGAACACAACAGTACGACAATCAACTCCAATGGCCCTTATAAACAGTCCGGACACGTATCACTGTAAACAAATTGCCGACCGAGTTCTTTGTTGTGTATTTCCAAGAAAATGGGCGAGATGTGTTTTACGGTGATTGAATACCATTTTATACGACGATAAATTGTTTCACGCTCCAAAGAAAACGCAATATATCTATTTGGGATCACATTTGAACATGCACACATTTGTTCAACGCACTATCATAGAGTTATATATCATTATATTATACTACCTACTAAGCTAGAGCAAAATGTAAATACGCAATAACAAATTATTAATTAAAAAAAATTTTTTTTTTTTAATATTATAATATTACTTAGTGGTAAGATTAACTCTATGATCGTACTCAATGATTTACTAATCGTAATTTAGCCAATTTTTTCAAACAAAAATTATAGATTCAATTTTTTTTTTAATTTAAAGTTTAAATTAAAAATAGTATAATTATTTTGAAAAACAATATCGGTCTCATTCAACCCATAGAGTAGAAACTAGAAAGTACCACACTTTCTTCATTTTATATTAAATTGCCAAAATTTGTTATTTTAATTTAGGCCGTTCAGTACTACACTATTTAGTTGTTAATATTTTCGAACTTATGCCAAAGTTTTCGAATATGGTTTTACGAGAATGTCGCCCATTCAATATTATACAATATATCGCGGCGGAACAAACCGCTGTAAAAGTAATAATAATTATAATATTATTATAAATTAAATCTCTGTGATGCGGCTCAAGGTTTATTAATAATTAATTTCGGCGGTCGCCAACACTGTCGACGCGACGGTCACCGCGGCGGCGGTTGTTCGCGGTACGGCCAAAAAAGGCCTCGCAGGACGATAAAGAGCAATTTCGAATTTAATGAAAACGTATACGACGGTTTTAAATCGGTCGGGGAATTAAGTTAAACCGCTTTTCGGCGGCGGCGGCGTATACGTGTGCACATATAGTAGCGCTACGCGGTCTCGCCCGGTTGGTCTAATATAAAACAACGCACGGACGCATAAGTAAAACGTGCGCGAAATTACACGGCCGGATCCCTTGGCTGTGTGTATATATTATATACATGTATAAATATGATATTTATATATATATATTATTATGTGTGTGTGTATTTGTATTATACCTGTACGGTACACGTCGCTCATTGGAGATTGATTGGCTCGGGGGACGACGGCGGCGGGTTGTCGTAAAACGGCGGGCTCGGGCAATAAAACCGGATCGAGCTAGACGCTACCGTGGCCGTATTGAAACAATACCGGGTACATTATACCCCGGGGAACCCCCCTGGGCGGAGGTACGAGGAGGGGTGAGGGAACGGGATAGATAAGACCGATGTGCGGCATTTGTCTCGGGGCTCGATATTCGCCGCTGTCGCCGTCGTCGTATAATATCTTTCGGGGTCGGGCCGGCAGCGGTTGCCACTTGCGGGGGTGTGCCTGTCCCGTTTATTATGTGCTTTTTGATATACCGACGGCACGTGACGACGTTACAACAGACGGGGGTTTGCACGCGGCGAAACGTCAACGAAAGAAAAATACCACCACCCCTGCGAACCACCCCTTTGGTTTCCGGTTAGGTCAGTATTCGCTTGCCCCCGCAAAGCTGACGTCGTTACACTGTTGGCCAAACACTCATATCAACGGCATCTCACCGCGGAGAGGGTACCTATCGTTCCAGAACAAGTGACGTCGATTAACCGCATTCGCATTATTATGATATTTAAAACGAAAAATAGGGCTACGGCGGGTAAGAATGATCTCCGTTGGTGTTATACATTACATTATAAAAAAAAAAAAAAAATACAGTGCCAATGACTTGGCACTGTATTGATAAAACAACAATAACAATAATATGGAGACAAAAAAATTGTAAACGTTTTTATATACTGTGGTCTATGTACGTTATCTCCGCTCTAATTTTATTGACAAACTTAAAAAAAATCAAGCTAAAATATGAAAACATAGATATTTTTTTAACTTTGATGGAGCTGATAAGGAAGGTTTTATTTTTCACACTGATGTGCTTTAATTTTTAATTATTGTTTTCTATAAAAGCGGGGTTCTGAAATTCTTTTATTATATTGTCGACTGCGATAATATAAATGTGCAACAA